TCGACTGAAGGAGTAGAAGTGTCAAGCAAAACAAATCTCTGATTTTCTTCTCAATGAATCTCGATGAAGGCTGCTCGTGCAGAAGGAAGTGGATCCTGACTAAAAATACGGCATCGGCCTTCGTCAAGGTTTTTTATAAGACCACCCAGGAATTTGAACATGCGATCCATTTCTACAACCTTTTGGAAGAGGGATAGGTCTGTCGGAGAATCTCAAGTTTAGTCGTAGTACAATTTGCATTCAATCCATAATGCAATAAGGCCTTGACCGTTGTTTTGCCTCCCGAATTTTCTTAGATACCTCATAGAGTTGGTCAGAATTTTCTACATCCAAATAGGTATCACGGACAGTCGTCCAGAGGGCGCCAACTGAGGGGAGGATCATATATGAATGACTAATTGAAGTCTCCATGGAGTTGATCAGCCACGACATGATCATGGAGTTCTCCACTTCCCAAGCTTCATATGACAGTTCAATTTTTTGAGGCTCACGAACTATATCTGTGAGGTAACCAAACTTTCCACGTCCTTCCATGAACAAAGACACCACTTGGGACCATTGCAAAAAGTTATTATCATTTAGTTTATGGGTTGTGATTAAGAAATTCATATTGGTTTCTAATCCTCTGGTATGCAAGGGAGTTTAAATTTGGGTTGATCCCCCGGTGTAATCAAGAACACCTTCTGAAGGTGGTTTAGAGTTGGAGGAATCCGTCATAATTCCGACCGAGCCAAAGGATATGTGGTTTTGATCCATCAATAAATTCTGATAGGGTTATGACGGAGGACTACAGGAAACAATGGTTGATGTAGAGAACACTAAGAAGGGGACTAAGATCCAGAACTATAGGAAACAGCAGCTGCACGGGGTTGCAGGAAAAATTGTTCGTCGGCTACTGGATAATGGGAAGAAGCTTGTCGAATCATCGATGGTTGGATCAGAGGGGACCGACAGCTGTACAGGGACAACAGAAAGTTTAACTACCCTCACATTCCAGTCCAGTTTTAAAAATCTTAAGGATTAACAAAACTAACTAAGAGGTGGTTTGATCTATAGAAAAACCAATGTATTGTAATCATTTTGCATGGGTTTTAAGAATTGTAAGTACGGTGTAGATTATGACCAAATTTAAAATACATTCTATAGTTCATTTTCTCAGTATTTAGATTTCGACCGATTTGACTGATTTTTAAATTCATACTTTAATGTAAAGTGCTGCTGCCTTTCGCGGGCCGCCCACCTTCAAACAACAACCTTCAACAAATAACGGATATTGCTCGCCTGCCCACCGCATTTACTGAACTCCTTCGCCGCCGCATATCCCATCACCAGTCGCTGCACACTGCCCACTGCCGTCCCTGCTTGCCCAACCAAATCTACCCACAACAACAACTGGCTGCTACCGACTAATGCATTGCTTTTTAAATACAGTGTTTTCATTTTATTTTAAACCAAAAAATAAATTTTTTTTATTTATTTCACACTGAATCAAATAACTCCAAAGTAACCTAAATACAATACATTACCCTTACATTTCATTCATTTTACATTGCGTTACTTTTTCAGCAAATCAAGCAGCCCTTAACTTATTTTGTTTTTCATTTATCAGATAATTTCACTTCAAGCATATGATTAAATATCAACAATCGAATTAAGAAAATGAGCCTGACTATTTATTCAAGTACAATGTTTATTAAAGTGAATGGCCATCATAGTGATTTATCAGAATATCTACTTTAGAACAATTAAAACATTTTTTTAAGAAAAAAACATGAATGATTTCTATTGAGTATTCTTACTGCTTTTGCATCCTATTCATGCACGAACACGATATAATCATGGGCTTGGAGTCATGATGGGTGCTTGTGTCATCTGTTGCTCTTGCGTGATTGGGACAAATGTGGATTTCTTGTGTGATTGGGACAATTATTAATCTATATCACCATATTAAGTATCAAACAATAATCCTGAACCAAAGTATAATATTGTCCAGCATTAAGCACACTTATAAGAATCTTAGATTCAACTCACATATTAGCATATTGATCATATGCATCGCTCCAATTTTGGGATCATACGACATACTCTAAGGTATGTACCATCCGCACATATCAACATATGATAAAGATTAATTTATGATGTAATGAAGCATTATCTTCGTATCCCTAACAGAATTGCAGCTGTAAAAACATTATAATACATTGGTTTTTTAACTACCCTCTAACCTTTCTTAATTGTTTTTCTTTTTTGGTAGGAAGCCTTTCGAATGCTAAAGGAGAGCCGCTCCCAACAATCGGGTGGTATTACGATTTGAGATTGTGATCTATTCAATTACGACCTGTGGAGGAAGGTTGTCAGAGGCAAGAGGAAGAAACAGGTTTATGAGTTGTGGCCTCTGGCACAGGCCCACCTCCGGTGCATCCACTTCTACTGCTCATGAGGATGAGCATCGTATGCAAGTTGTCGCATTATCTGCAGATATTGAGACCAAATTGTTGCCATGTTTGCTTCCCAACTCGCCTAGATGAGGTTCGAGATCAAGGAGAAAATGAGATCAGAGCTAGATGAGATCCCACGTCTAGTAGAGCAGTGAGGAAAGCAATCAACTTTGATGAGTTTGAGGGAACGAATGATGATGAGAGGACAAAGAAAGACTAAATAGATGTTTTATTCATAATGTTTTTTTTTTTGAAACGATTCGAGTGAATAATAGATTTTTTTGTACATATATTTATTTTTGGTCGGTTCAATGTATTTATCTTACTACTGTATTTATTGTTTTCTTATTTACTGCTTGGATGATTAAATTGTGCAATGTATTATATCATTAAAAATATATGTGTTTTATGATTGTAGGTGTGAAAATTGTATTGTTAAATGTATTTTCTTAGCTACAGGTTTCTGACGACCTAATGGTGATCATCCGACGGCTAATATCATTTGAGATTTAAACTGGCAGGTTTACGATGAACTATCAAAATGTTGACCACAATCAATAAACAGATGTGCTAGGTTACCAACGACGTGCTTGTCAGAAATTAACACGGACGACTTACCGACACATAACCGACTAGCACTTAATAAGAGCTAAATTTGAAGATTTTTATACTATTAATAGGGTTACCAACACATAATTGATGGGTGCCCGATGCGTTAGGTTGTACGTAGTAACTACGATCTAGACTGTCGAAAGAAAACAACCGTCGGTAATCACATCAGAAAATAAATTAACGTCAAGCATTTTAGTTGAGTGTCATAGTCTGTATGAAAGCTGTCAAAATTTTACAATCCTATAGCTTATTATATAATTCTGATGGATTTAGATAGTTGGTAATAGTCTGATTTCCTATAGTGTGTGTAATTATGCATCTATGAATATGGTGCATTGAAGTATCTTGAATAAGATGTTACGAAATATCCTGCATACAGAGTGGGAAATAACATTTTAATGAAGATCCAACGATAACGTTCGACAACAAATACTTTCACTCGTCGTACTTATAATACAACAACTAATTTCTCTAGACTCCTGTTATGGTATGTCTCATATATCATATAGGGACAAACGTTGGATCGAAGCAGAGCGGAAGAATCTGTCCAAATTGGGAAGTTACGTGAGTTGGGGTGCGGGGGCAAAGCCCCGCGGTATGGTACAGGGGTAATGTTGTAATTACGTATTGTGTCTAGGTTTACTCCTGGGGTTATAAATAGGCATGTTAGTAACCCCAGGAGGTATCCCTGAATTCTGTAACCTCTTTTCTGAATATTGAAAGGAACTCGCCGCTTTGCTCCCGAGGACGTAGGCATCTTTGCCGAACCTCGTTAAATCTCTGAGTTCTTCTGGATTTGTGTCGTTTTAGTTTTTCTTCGCCCTAATTTTCTCAACAACTCCAAAAGTGTTTCTTATATTATGCACAGACAAGTATTGTACTTTATGCAGTATTGTAGCCCTTCATTCTCATTTGTTGGACAAGGACTTATCTTTATAATTACAAATTTATGGTGGAATAGTTTGTTTGGGCTAGGCCCTATACTTTTTTCCCTTTTCGCTCTTCTAAGTAAAAAAATTTGTTCTCCTCCCGATAATTTTTGGTCTATCTGTGAGTGTTTGATTTTCATACAATATTGAGACATCAAATTATGAGTGAATTTTTCTGCACACAAAACATCTTAACAAGTCTTTAACAATCTTATCCAATTATTTGAAACTCTGCATTATTTAGTCTAAAAAAGATATTCAAGAGATACTTCATAATTGAATGAAACATTGATCTCATAATTCCCTCCTATTACACATCTTATATTCCCCTCACTTATGATATCATTATGTCCTCTTTTCCATTTTGTTTGGCTTATAATTAGGTTTGGTATAATATTTTCCTTATTTTTCATAAAACTATAAATAATAATAATAATAATAACAATAATAATAATATAGCAATAAATAAAGGGAAAGCACACTCCGTAACACCACCACTAACTTCTTTAATTCCCAACTTCCTCATCCCGCACCAGCTAAGCTACAAAAAACAAATAAATAGAAAAGGACAGCCTTCCATTTATCCCCTTCAGCAACTCATTTCCAAAACAAACAAGTCTTATATCAAGCCGACGACATCAATCCGTTAAAATCCAAAAGCCAGCCCTCCATCGCGTCTTCCGTTCACATACGCTAATTCTCTTCCGCATCTTTCTTCAGGCCCTCTCCCTTCAACTATAAGTACGCGAATCTATCAGTCTCAATTCTCCTCTAACATGGCTCTCCAAAGCTTCTTCTCCTGCTCAATTATTTTCATCTCTTTCTTCTTCTGCAATGGCGCCCGCACGCTCTCTCCCTCGCCGGAAGAAGTTGGAATCTGCGAGGCTGTGGTGCGTCCCTACGGCTATAAATGCCAGGAGTTCGAGGTTAATTATTGACTAATGTTGCTTTGCCATGCACTTCGTCATCTATGGTATATATTAATTGGAGTTAAATATTTGGAGATATATATGTATAGGTGACCACTGAGGATGGCTACATACTGGGAATGCAGAGAATACCAGTGGGGCGCAATGGAGTTATGGGAGGAGATAGGCAGCCCGTGCTTTTGCAACATGGTGTTCTTACGGTAAATATTCTCATATACATATATACTATATATATATAGTAACAAAAGAAAGTCAAATTAACTCTTAAAATAGTAAAATCTGCTCCATAGATGTAATTATTACGGAGGGACGGTCGGGACAATCAAGGTAAATTGCATAATTGCTCTCTCTCTCTCTCTCTCTATCTCTCTCTCTCTCTCTCTCTCTCTCTCTCGACATGGAATATAGAAATAGTGCAAATTGAAACTAAAAAAATACAAATTATCTGATTATAAATATTTAGGGCGGGCGGAATTAGGTTAATAGAATTTTTTATGTAGATAATGTTCTTTTTTTTATATAATTTAGATAAATTAATAATATATTTATTTGTCCAATATTTAAAAAAAATATTAAATATCACACTAACAAACAAAACTGGTTCTTCAATTCCACACGCCAGAATGAAAGTTTTGAAGCCACATAAAGCGCTTGGCTTTGATTAAAACAAACGTTATTTATATATAACAAATACTGGCCGTAAAATGATACTTTTATTAAAAATAGCATTTGTGCATTATGTGTGCAATCATATATTAGGACCCGTTTGGGGCAGCTTATAAGTGCGGCAGCGTTTTTTGAAACGCCGCCTAACTGTTTAGATTTCATTTTTTTGAAAACGCTGACTGCCGCATTTGAGTTTTTTATATTAAACGCAGGCCGCGGGTTGACATCCGCGGTCGACCCTCAGGCCGCATTTTAGGATAAGTTGTTTATTCTGAAACGCACGAGCTGCCCCAAACAGACCCAGTCGTGACATATATTGTCCTTTTTTTCTTGAAAACATATTTACATTACCATAGTTTTATATCAGAATAATACTTATTTTGACATAAGTATTATATATAATATACATAAATATACTTAAAAATAAAATAGTTAAGAGATCATAACGTATAATTATTATGATATATTCTTATTTATCCATTTGAAATTAACATTTATTTTCATTTTGTAAAACTCATAAACTACCCTTTCTTTTCGAATTAAGCTGCTCCTCAATCATTAAATATATGATTTTAAATTTTAATTTTTTACTTATTGACAAAAAAAAATAACATAATTGCAGGATGGCATGTCGTGGCTCCTGAACCTTCCGGAGCAATCTCTGGCCTTCGTTCTAGCCGATAACGGGTTTGACGTTTGGGTCGGTAACATGAGAGGCACCCGTTCCAGCCGTCGCCACGTGTCTCTTTCGTCATCCGACCCGGTATATAATTTGCAATTACCACCCTCAAAATATTTCTTCTTACAAATATAGATCTCATGGACTTCACTTAACGGATAAATAAGATTACAGTTCAGTAAATTTTGAATCTTTTCATATAATTAATAAAATCCCAACATGCTCAAAATTAAACGTAAGACTTTTACATATCTAACTTATAAACTTTCACATTCACATTTATAGTACTTCTGTGGCATAATCCTGTGCATAAAAATTGCATTTTATTTTTTAAAAAAATTAATAACAATGATATTTTTTATGTGATGTTAAAATGTTGAGTGTCATGTATATAAATATATAAACTTAGATGTTAGATATGTAAAAACAAACAAATCATGTGGCACATGTAAATGCCCCAAACTCAGTTTTCAAACCCGCTTCAAATTTCTTTAGCTAAAATGCATCAAAGTTGTTGCAAAACCCCCAATATTAGCAAAAAATATTATATCATGAGTTGTAATGAGTAATTGCATTAGGACTTTAATGAAATTATGTCACGTGACCGGAGGAAGTAGATCATGTATTAAATATATAATTTTTTTTTATTTAGTCGTGTGATGCAGTTATACATCACGAGTACTAATGTAATATTTTTTCCAATATTAGAGGCGGACATCGCACCTATGAGGCACCCAATCACAGGAGATCACATAAATGCAATTTCAAGTGCATGATGATGTGATCCTGTGGTTGGTACGTTATACCTTTATCCTTTATTTTGGTAGCGTGAAAGAGAACTTATTTCAAATCATAAGTTTTCATGACATATAAATGCTATAAATGTATTTATTAATATTAAAGCTAGATTTTTATCTAACATTAAAAATAGTCTTATTAGGTTTATAGGTCATTTACTAGCTTACTGATGTAATGCAGCTTAAGAACTTTGATCTCATTTATTATTTGATTTCTTTCATGATGATTTAGTTTTAATTATAGTTTACATAACTATTAAACAAGGGACATATTAGAGGAATTACATCTAATTTATTGCAATGATATGATACCATATATATATATATATATATATAAGGAAACATGCATTTTATATGCACATATAAATTCATTTTGGGAATGAGTAAAGTTGACTACATATAAATAAATAGGCTTACTGGGCGTGGTCTTGGGATGAGCTGGCGGCCAATGATCTCCCAGCTATGATTGACCTGGTTTCCAAAAACACAAATCAGAAGCTTCACTACGTTGGGCACTCATTGGTATGTAAAAAAGATTTTTTTTTTCTTTTTATTTAATTATTTTTCATAATTTTTGCTGAAATGTTTTGAGCCAATCAGATATTTTCTGGATATGTCACATAGAAATAATTAATCCTTTATTAATTCTTAATCAGTTTTGAGCCAATCAGATATTTTCTGGATATGTCACGTAGAAATAATTAATCTTTTTTTGTTTATTAATTCTTAATCCAATCATCTATTCAAAGCTGTTGTTAATGGTGCTTATATAATTTCCAGTAAAAATGAAAAGTTATATAATTGCAGGGAACCCTAATTGCCTTGGCATCTTTCTCAGAGGGAAGGCTAGTGGACAAGCTATCTTCAGCTGCCCTTCTGAGTCCAGTAGCCTACCTCGATCACATGAAAACAAAATTAGGCATTCTTGCTGCCAAGCTCTTCGTGGGTGAGGTAATTAACTATTTTTATTCCTTCAATAATTTATCAGATTTTTATAACTCTTAAATCAGCCAACTTATTTATTTTCCATAGAGTGAAAGTGATTAGCCTAATTAATTTTGATTAATTAGATTACTGCTTAATCTAATAAGGTTGCATTCCCCTTGATTAGATCTTGAGTAATTTGCTAGGACTGGCAGAATTCGATCCCAAAGGGTAAGAAATAAGAAATTAATCTGAATTAACCATGAATATGTAAAAACACCACTTTTAGTTCTCTCATTTATAATTAGTTCTTCAAGCAAAACTTCATTTACAGGTTGGAAGCATCCAAGTGCTTGAACAAACTTTGTAGTTATCCTGGTGTGAACTGCTATGATCTCCTCACCGCATTTACAGGTATAATTTTTTAATATACATACCTCATAATTGTTTTCTATTCGCATATTTAACAGCCGAAGATTGATATTTACATTTTTAGACCCGGGTGTCAAAAACTTACGGATGAAAAATGTGTATTTAATGTTTAAAAGGAAAATGATTGTGATATTAAATATTTGAGCGGTATATATATATATATATATATATGAAAATATCAATGTTGAGGTGTTTGATATGTAAATAAAGAAAGTGTGAATCTTATGTGGGTGTGTATGTGAGCCCAACGCGAAAAATTATTACGTCTGCAGTATTCTGGACGTTGAGGTACGTCCGGAGTCCAATAAAATCACGTCACGTGGTGGTGACAGAAAAATTAAAAAAAATTGTTTTAACACAAGGGAATTATCTCCCGTGTTATTCCACGTTATTCAGGTATTATTGTGGTGGTATTCATGTATTATTGTGTTCTGAGAATATTTTCGGTACTATAATAACACAATAACACATCAATACCATCACAATAAATATCACCACAATAACATCTGAATAACGCGAAATAACATGGGAGAATATTCACTTGTGTTAAAACGAATTTCTTTTTATTTTTCTGTCTCCTCTACGTTGCGTGATTTTATTGGACCTTGGATGTACCTCTATCCCCCCCCCCCCCCCATTTTTTTTTTTTTTTTTTTTTTTTTTTTTTTTTTTGGTATATGTTAACTACTTGATCATTTATTATATGTGAATGTGATTTCACAGGTAGCAACTGTTGTCTTAATGGTTCAACGGTGGAATTATTTCTCAAGTATGAACCGCAGCCAACGTCAACCAAAAACATGGTACATCTAGCGCAAAGTAAGCCATCAGTTTATGCGAGTATTTTGCAGTCCGTTTTTAATGGGTTAAATATACATATTTTTTGTAATAAAATCAAATCGTTATAGGGTAAATGTTTTATTTTAACTTAATTCGAGTATAGGTGTATTTGTCCCAATTATATTGATCTTTTTTCATCACTATTATTCAAACTTGAAAGCAATTGATTTACGCAATCCCCATATTTTCACTCCACCAAACATGCTTGTAATTTATTTGGGGAATTATTTTCTTGTTGATTTCTTAAAATTTATATGGTTGATAGTTGTTCTTGCAACCAGACCAGTTAATGTAGCGGCTATAAGAATGTTAATGTCTGGCTTTCTAAAAAAATAAATATTTTTTATTCTCTCCGTAGTTCTTAAAAAATTTACTTTCTCAACTATAATTTTACGAGCATATTGACAAAAAAATTGCAGCTGCTGCATGCGAACTCTAAATGTAAGTTCCACTAACTTAGGGCTGTAAACGAGCCGAGCTTGAGCTGGGCTCGTGTTCGGCTCGTTCAAAATAGCTCCTGTTCGAAATCGGCTCGTGAACAGTGTGTTCGTGTTCGACTCGATTTAAATATTTGTCTTCGTGTTCGGCTCGAAATTGACTCGTTAAACTAAAATTGAGAAAAATAGATGTAAAGTGTGAGATTCGAACCTGGATCAAATCTATACAAAAGAAGACACTAACCACATTGTCACATGAGGTGTTATGATTTAAACTTAGACATAAATATATATAATATATTATTATATAAATAATATATGTAA